CGATGTGTATCGGGCTCCGCTGTTACGTTTTACATTGATTAACTTGCTGGAAAAGCAGTTAGCTCCTACATCCTTTACGAAGCTTAGTTCTGTAACTTTTTGCCCTTGCGATGCAGGCGGCGGCTGATATGTCTATTTGAAAAGCTGCTGTGCTGGAAGGCGTATATCTGGACAAGTCATATTTATTATAGTATTTATAACACTTCACTTCCGGAGCTTTTGGAGATGCTGCTTCTCTATGCAGTTATTGATGCTGTGCCCTATACAGCGAACGGTTAAAATATGAAACAAATTCATTTAAAAATCAGGTATTGTATTTCAAGAAGAATGCTGCAGTAAATATAAAATATACGGGGTGGGTTAAAAATTACATGTGGATACAAAGTTTCTTTTTTTAACAGAACAAATTTTTTTGAAATCCGTTTTCGAATTCTCTTCTACTTTTTATCACCAAAAAGAATAAAATCAAAAATTTAATTTAGAAATGTAAGTAACCAGGTACACTTAGAAAAGTAATGCGTTATAAAATCCACAAGAAATCACCTTGTAATAAATCAACTCTTCTACAATTTAATCAATCAAAATATAACAATTTAGGTACGTTTGTAAATATTTTTATATTGATTTGTTTATAAATTATTAGTTTAGTCACTTTAAAACATTAATGATTTTTTCCCTATATTTACTGTATTGCGTATTTGTTTTAAACGGAATTATGTTTAAAACAACTAATGATTCGCTTATATCTAGAGTTTCTTCCTTTTTTTTATAATAATAGGATAACTATATTAATCAAACTATGCCCTTTCCCCATAAATTTTCTCCCATTTTTAATCACGGTGGATCTTGTAACTGGTCTTTATGGATATTTTACGCTAAACAAATTAGAACTTATTATCGACATTGCAAAAAAATCGCAAATAAATTGATGGACGTGTGCGAGCATTTTTCTTAAAATATAATATCTGATTAACTGTATATGTAGTGCTCTAACAAAGCAAAGATCAAATCAAATCAAAACAGATATGGGTAAAACCCACACCCAGCAGAAAATGATGCGTGGGTCATACGGCATACCTAACAATGTTCGCAATAGCATTTTCCCTTAGGCAAACCTCGTTTAGGAGTCAATGAGACAAAAATGGGTCTACATAAATTTGAAACGACTTTCTTTTAAATTGCAATTGTTCATCTCTTAAAGTTTAACCCAAATACATATTCAGTAATACTAATCATAATAGTAATATTTAGTATTACGTTTAGGAAAAAAAGTCAAATACAAAAGTTGTTCAAAAAATAGTAAGTTGTTTGTTATTGCTATTATATATATTGGGTAGTGAAGAATCATCCACAGATAAAAGTTATATATTTTTGAAAGGAACACCCTGTATATATATTGTATTGTGTCCTATACATTGAATAATGTGTCCTATACCCAACTAAAATTGTTTTTGAGACATATGCGCTTTTAACATAAAAGCAATATTCAAAAATAGAATAATATTCTAGAATTTATTATTTATATTTTAGGTGGCTGTGAAGGAGGTCGTCACCAAAATGCGAAATGTTTGTTTATTACAGTGTTTATTACAGTGACAGTTTAGCAAAACTGTGCCCATTTTATCATATTCAAAATTGCAATCGCAAAGAGAAAACAATGAATTTCGGAGCGTTTATAAAACCAAATAAGAAGGCAAAATTGGCTCAAACTGTAATTAACTTCCGATTGCTCGTCTCGGCCAAAAAAACTTTCATTGAATCTATGAAAATTTCAACATCTAGCATAAAGAGAACATTTATTTTAATATTATATCCTAACACATATCTTCTCTTTCCAATATTCTCTTCTTTCATGCTAGTTCGGATGTTGGTTGAAATTTATCAAAGATTTGAAGAATTTTTTTTATATGGAACGTGTATTCGAGGGTTAATTACAAGTACTTCCCCCTGAGCCATTGTAGTTATCTTATTTGCTTCAAAAAACGTTCTCAAAATTAATTGTCTTTCTCTTTCAGAATAAGGCATTTTATAATAAAAAAAAGGCGAAAGAACAAGATTCGCTAAATCTGTAACTGGAACTGACACTGTCAGTTATAAACAAACATGTTGTTTCTTGGTGATGGCCTACTTTTCAGAGCCACCTAAGGTATAAACTATAAATTCGAGAATATTTTTTATTTTTGAATGTTGCGTTTATATTAAAAGCTCATATATCTCAAAAACTATTGATTTGGGCATAGGACATAATATACAAGAAATGTGGGGGGATTTTATTAAGCGTATACAGGATGTTTTCTTGAAAAATATATAACTTTTATTTTGCAAATAGCTTACTATTTTTTGGACAACTATTGTAATTGACGCTTTTTTCCCAAAAGTTAAATAAAAAGTTGAACTCGGGGAGGCTTTGTAAATCTGAAAAATTCTTATATTTACTGTAGTATTTACAATATTTTTGGAAGAGATTTTCGCTGTTTTAGGGAGAGCGGTACTTGCGCAAGAAGCAATATCAAATTGTTCAAAAAATGAGAAAGAATGACTTAATTTACACCGGCCAGAGAGTGCATCATTAAGAAGAGTCCACAATAATATTCTGTCTCGTATTGTTTAAAGTAAGACAGAAGGTTTACCATCTATATAATCCCTTAAAGCCTAACCGGAATAAATGTTCAGCAATACTAAAAAATGATAATCATTTAACTCATACAAAATACAACTTATTCTAATTGGAAATTAGTTTATAGTAATTATTAATTACAATTTCACTCCAGTGCTGTATAAGGGCTTTGTTTGGTGCTATCAATCGTTACCGAACTATCTAAAGTTGGTTTATGGAGTGAGAATAACACATCTTGCTGAGTGGGGTTGACTCAATAGACACCTTTGATGTATGTATTGATTATGAATGCCCTTTTTCTTTAAGATTATTAAAACTAAAATGCTCTTTTACCTCTATAGGAAAAATACTTTTAACACATCAATAAACAACTTGAATCTGCGCAGAAGGAAAACATCGACTTTGTATCCCAGTATATATATAGTATTTATCAGGATAAATAAACGCTTAGAACTAATATCGGAAAGCAGTGGTTGTGGTCTCAGTAGTGTTCAATTCTTATAGCAAACATGCCCTTTTCTTTACCTTTTCCCAACTTTGTTTTCTTCTGAAACTACTTTTGGCACTTGTAAATGAAGTTAATAAATTTTAGTAAATATAAATTAAATAATGAAATATTGTATTTTATTCATATTTTTTAGCTATCTATTTGTTTTACTTGCTATAATGTATCTGTAAAATTGTACAAATATGATCAATAAAATTCTATTCAATTCTATTTTATAAACAATAATCTGGATCTTGATGGCTGCCCTTCTAAGGTCTGTTACATGTCATTTTGGTGATTGAACAATAAATATTATTATATTATTATTATTTTTCTAAACAGCAGATTAATGGATTTTTGCAAATCTCGAAGGAGACTGAACTGAGTCTAGTCCATGCAGAAAATATTTGGAAATTTAAAAAAAAAACTCCTTTTTTAATATTGTATTTTGTAAAGTCGTCCAAGACTTCGAATGTATGACGTGACACAGACTTCGCTTCCTTATCCGATTTTCATATGCAATATGAACGTCAAAAGGGTGTAAGATTGAGGCTTTTTGAAATTTTGTTTCCTTCTCCGTCAAATCAATTTCGAACACTCCAGATAAAGTATAACACATATTGTTAATCAAATCACTTCGACGGTTGTGTAGGGGAAACAGTAACATTAGGGGGTACATATGTGGAGGGAAGCTGCCGTTTCGAGACCCCTTTACAAAACACGTTCCAAGGCCTCATTTATTCGAGGATTGTACCGCGATTTTTTGTTGTCCCTTTTTTGCGGAATTCGATGCGAGAACCTGCGTTGGTAATACATACTTTATTACCGTCTAAAGATAAAATTAATTACATTTGTTATTGTCCGTATCTAACGATAATTTCTTAAATTTCTGGATCCGGGAGTAAAAAGAAACTTATGGAAAGCGAACCTGCCTCGAAAAACTGTTGTCCTTGGCTAATTATACTAGGCTAGCCGCCAGACCAGAGCGGTATCCCGTCTCTAATAAAAGATTTTCGGTTTGTTAGAGGGAGAGTTTCGGCAGAACAAATGAAATATGAAATGCGAATGTTTGGTTCGAGATTTAAAACCGGCAAACGATGCTATAAACTCCAAACGAAAATATAATTCCTTCAACAAAAAACACATACTTGGAAATTCTCTGAAAAGGGTAACAGGTGCGACAAGCGTGAGTAAAGCAAAAACACACTATTCGCACCAAGTACAATTTTGATATGGGTCATAATTTTGGATTCAATGATATGGCGATAGCAAGGAACCTAAACCAATTCGATTCTATTAGCTCATTTACATAATTAGAGAGTTTCTGTAGAACAAATGAAATATGAAATGCGAATATTTGGTTCGAGATTTAGAACCGCCGAATATTGATTTTTCCGTTTTAACGATGCCATAACCTCCAAACGAAAATATATTCCTTTCAATAAAAAACAAATACTTACAAACCTTCCTTAAACAGCCTGAAAAGGATAATAGGTGCGACAATCGTTACTACAACAAAAGAAAACCATTCGTACCAAGTACAATTTTTATAGGGGTCACAATTTTGGATTTGGTGATACCGCGATAGCAAGGAACCAAATCAATTCGAATGCAACAGGAAGCACAAGACCCATACAGTAAGTCTAGCACTGATGTAGGATAGCTTCCAGAACCTTAACCACCGTTATATCAGGGATAACCTGATTAACATAATAGGCTGATTTTTGATCATCAGAGCAAGAGCAATCCAATGTAGCATCTTGAAACCTATTGCGTTTTAAAGAACATTATATCATGTCAGCAAACACTCAATAAACTGGCCGTATTTAGGACTTGAAATGAAAATCGATATGTCGTCAAAGATAAGCAGGTCTTCCTATATCCTACACTCCTCAAACCAACTAAAAGGTGTAACTACAAACAGTTTTATTTTCTGGTGTGGAGAGTGTCATATTCTGAAGCATACACAATTTTCATTGAGTTTTGCAAACCAGCTTCGGGCTTTGAACCGGTCACCGTCACTACGGCATCGCCCATGCGGATGTATCCGAGATATTTCCCGTACGTAATGCCGATTTGCACTCTCTCCTCCACATCTTTAGCCCAATCGCCGTCAAAAGGTTTAAGGTAGACCAACGGCTCTACTCCTTTGTATAATCTCAGTAGCCTGGCAATTCGGGCGTACCTTGTTACGGTGATGACGGGACATCTTGGTTTGAACCTTGATAAGAGTTTCGCAGTTCTGCCGGAGGTGGTGAGGCATACTATTGCGGCAGCACTAGATTTTAGCGACGCCGCTACGGCAGAAATACACAACGAGTACAGAATTTCGTTCGGGATAGATATATCGTGAACCAATTCTGTGAAAATTTGCTTCTGATAGACAGCGGCTTCGGCTTCCCGGCATACCATGCAGACTTCTTTGACGATGTCTTTCGTGCAAGCGTTCTGCGGTATCAGCAGGGCGCTAGCACCGTCGATAATGGAGTTTGCTGTATCGCAAATTTCCGCTTTGGATAACGACGAACTATCGGATACGTTTGTCGGGCAAATCACTGGCATACCTTTCAAATTGCACTTGGCCAGGATCGATTTTTGCGCGAGAAAAACTTTTTCTTTCGGTATTTGTAGGAGCAGCTGCTCGGTGTCGATATACACGCCGTCAGATCTATCCAAGATGTCGTCGATGTTTTCGATAGCCGTAGCGTTCTCTATTTGAGGTATTATTTGGATTTTATCGCCCAGTGCGCCGAACAGATTCCTGACTTCCACAACGTTTTGGCTGTTGCATATCCCGCTCACAAAAAGGAAATCGATGCTGTTGTCGATAGCCAGTTTTACTATTTCTTTATCTTCCTCGCATACAGCTGGTAGCTCCATGGGAGTATTTGGCAGAGTGACGGAAACTCTGCTGACCAAGTCGCCGGCTTTATCTACTATACATTTCACAATATTTTCCGCCGTTTCGATGGCCGACAGTCGAATCATCCCGTGATCGAGAAATAGTTTGTCTCCTGGTTGTATCAATCCAGGCAGTTTGGGGTAGTCCACATATATTGTGTCTTTGGTCACATATTCTTCGAAGGAATCATCCGTTGTAATAGTTATTATTTTACCTTTGGGCAGGTGCACCGGGCTTTTTCTTTGTCGCAGTTGTCCGATTCGGATTTCAGTACCCCGTATATCCAAAGCCAAACCCAATGGATATATCCTGCCTATCCTTTTGCTGTACGATTCGCTTACACTCTTTACTTTATTGATGAGATCCAGTATAGTTTGTTTTTCATTGCCAGGACACGATATTCTGGCAACCGACATTCCCACTTTTATCATGTCTTCGATGGTGTTGCAGGTTGCCTGAGCGGGTATCGCGCATACCAGCTGAGTTCCTCTAAAAGTGGACGCTTTTGATTTGATGTTCAAATGGCTGAGGTATTCTAGGGTTGTGGTGGCGAACGCTGCCGAAAGCTGTCCGTTCAAGACTTCGCCTTTTTCGCCACTGTAAAATTCCACCATCCACGGTAGTTTTGGGCAGTCCATGGTTATGGAAAAGGTCGTGCTGTTTGCATAAATTAATACATTCGATTTTACAATGACATTTTAACTGAACCCCAATGTTTGACACTGGCAGTCGTTTCAAAAAATTATGTTAACTTCAAGTTCTCTCGCCCAAACATAAATTTATGAAGTACTAAATATTACTCCAAATTGCACACCAAAATATTTTTAACTTCAATTTTGAACAAAATTCAACATATGAAAAAAAAATGAATAATGGAATAAAAGGAAGCTGCATTTGTTTAAAGATGTTGGTTTTAATATTTCGTCTTGGAAATATAATTTAATATTCGAATATAAGGAAATAATAACATTTAATAATAGCGCCACTACGGGAAATGACCTAAGCTTTGAAATTATTAACAATAATTTGTCTTTCTCGGTTACCTCGGTAGTTTTTTTTCCAAGCACTATTAAGTTCTAAAATTTGCCACCAGTAATGAATGAATCTCCCGAAAATGTACACATACAGTAAAATGTGTAGAAGTTGTTAGCAAAATTAATATTTCGTTTTCTAAAATTTATCGAAGACATTTTTGATTGCAAATGAGGTATTATGGAAAATTAATCTTCCTTTGCTAATGATTTTACATTTTTCTAGCCATAAAAAAGATAAAGGTGGACAGCTTTGTCCTTAAATGAAATAACAGAAATCATACTCAATGCTTTAATGCACACAAAAAATTAAGTTACTACTTCCGAGAAACGTTGATCAAACATTTTTAGGAAATCTATAAATAAAAAATACATTCTTACGCGATGTTGTAGATATTTGACTCTCTTACAAGAAGTATAATTCTAAATAATTATACCAAAAATTTTATAAAGTCTCCAAGATTTTTTAATCAATTATAAATATTTTTAAATGATTATACCAACAACGATTTAAGTACTAACAGATCTCATAAATCTGAACTTCATTTTTATTTTTAACTTGTCCAGTGACGAGTTTCGATTATATGAGTAGCAGATCTAAAAGTAAGCTGTTCGCGTAAATATTGTGCAGTTCCTCTTTGAAGTGTTTTATGCAGGTGACAAGCCAAATGGCTGTTTATCGATCTTTTATATTTATCCGTTTTAAATAATTTATCTTATGACTCAAATGGTCCCTTGATTTAAGGTTCAAAATAAAGAACGGATTTTGCAATCTGTTTTTAGAATGAACATGAAGGCAAAGGTCATATGCGTAGCATGTATATATAGTATAATTACAATTTTCTTTTTGATGACATGCACAAAAAATATTTACTCTTATATAACTGTTTTGGGGAAATTACTGTTCGTTGAACCTCTAAACACACAATTCTTGAATCTATGTATGTGTGTATTCATACATCTTATCGCTTTTAAAGTACATTCCAATTTATCATTATTATTATTGTTATTGTTATTGCATTGACTTTCTATTTTTTTTTTTAATTTTTTTTGTAATACTTTTTACAAAACTTCTGGATTCCTCCTGCGTCGGTTTTTACTCAGTCGAAATTGCTGACGTTTCGCGAATCATCCTGTTGACTTCTTCAGAGCTTGACTGAAACTGGCTCGTATTTTACTCTGTACCTGCTTATATGGATAACTGATTCCCAAATTGGTGACAGGTAGACGGTGTTTATACCCCTCATTAGCGCCCCCATCAAACAATATATAAGCAGGTACAGAGTAAAATACGAGCCAGTTTCAGTCAAGCTCTGAAGAAACCAACAGGATGATTGGCGAAACGTCACATATAATTTTGTATATATATATATATACATATATATATATATATATATATATATATATATATATATATATATATATATATATATATATATATATATATATATATATATATATATATATATATATATATATATATATATATATATATATATATATATATATATATATATATATATATATATATTCTCACGTATTGATTCACGGATGGAAAAATGTGATGACACTATACTCCGGGATATCATCCGTTCGCTCGTTGAACTCCGACTGGAATCCTGCATCCGACTGGAATCCTGCAAATCCTGCATCCGACTGGAATCCTGCAGACGTTTCGCGGATTCCAGTCGGATGCAGGATTCCAGTCGGAGTTCAACGAAGCGAACGGATGATATCCCGGAGTATAGTGTCATCATATATATATATATATATATATATATATATATAGTATATATATATTTATATATATATATATATATATATATATATATAATATATATATAATATATATATATATATATATATATATATATATATATATATATATATATAT